TCCTTGGCTCAGACTTTCTACCAACGTTCTCAAACCTGCTCATTCAGTTATAAAAGTTTAACAAAAATATCTTTTCCTTTTTTCTTTTAGTGACACAGTGTGGTACAGTTGTGTTAAACACAGTTTTATTTTATATCATTGTGACCTGCAGCTACATGTGGTCCAGAAAAGATCACTAGTTGACTTCTGCATTATTAATTATTTTGCTGATGTGCTCAAAGATGTGACTTCTTACGACGACTTTGTGTTTTTCATGTTTTAACTCACCCGTAATCATAGTCGTAGACGGTCGAGCAGAAGGCCCTGCTCATTTGAGATGGAACAACCCTTTAGTGTCTTGGACCTGTGAGGGTGTTGTTGGTTGCTGAGTTTGTCATTTCCTGGTTTGAAGGGTAAAGGACTTGCACTGATACCTGAGTGGTACTCTGAGCTTTACGACGTGTTTCTCATTCACACACCAACCCGGCTCAGAGTCTCAATGCGGGGAATTTAACCGTCAACTTGGCATTTAGTGAACAATCTGCTCGGCCACCTGAGCCACAGCCGCACCTGGTTTATTACATGGATTTAACAAACAGCCCCTGTCCTGACGTTTGGTTTCCATTGTTTCATACCTGTTGCAGGGCGTCGACACCTGAGTTCTCCAAACACTCCTTGAGACTTCAAACCATCATCATCTGTTTGTGCACATTGTTCCAAGGTGAGTCGTCCCTGCTCAGCCTGGATCTGTGTGGAGTGAAATGATTAAAACACCTTACATTGTACCAATAACACCCACGTTACTGACGTTTTATTGTTAGGTCACAATGCCTCCAAAAACGCCAAAGCAGCCAGGGCACAACAGGTCCTTTTTAAATCAGGAAACTGTAAGTAACAATGTGGTTAATGCCAGTGTTCTGTCATCAGTGTTTAAGTCTTTATCATCTCGTTACTTGTGTAGGTCAGAGTTGCCACTGCATGATTAACTGATTCATTTCTCTGTGCGTCTTTTATCAGGTCAGTCCTGGTGGCAGCAGCAGCAGCACAGAGAGCCCACAGCCAGGGGGAGCTACAGCTTCTCAGGTGAGCTTATTAGGTGACTGAAAAATAAACACCTTTTAAAGTCATTTAGATGACAAAATATCAGTAGTCCCGTACAACAACAAGACCCACNAGTCTAAAGCTACAGCAGCATCACTAAGGGACAGTTCAGGTGATCCTGAGCAGCTCTATCAGCTTCATCAAATGTTGTCTATGAAAACTTAATATGTCAAGCACTTGTTCAGGTCAAAACGGAAATTAGCCGTTGACCCACTTGAAGCACATTTTTTTACACATTGAAACTTGAGGCTGTTTGAACAACAATATTTTAGGCGCTATTAAAGATAAAAGCCTGAAGTCTTCACAGTTTTTTCTCGTCATGGATTTGATTCCACGTCTCCAATGTTGGACAAGTAGATTAAATAATCTCTGATCATGGGTGAGTTCAATTATTGAGCAGGTAGTTGTAGCACCGAAACAAACATTTTCTTCAGTGTTCTCCTTGGCTCAGAAGATCTACCAACATTGTAGTTTTTGTGGTACAACTTGTCAAACCTGCTCAGTTATAAAAGTTCAATAACAACACCACGTTTGTTATTTTTTCCATCAACATTAGTGTAGGTTCGTGTATGTCTGCCCTCCTAATATTATATTTATGATTCCATACGTTTGTTTCTGTTCTCTAGTTTTATACCTGTTTCTATTCTGTCTCGTGTAACCCAGGTTATTCACTGGAGTTCGCAGCATCTACAGATTTCTGATGTTCCTTAAATGCACCACATAGGTTTACGTAGGTTCCCTGAACACATCACGGAGCGGGAGTGAGCAGCATCGGCGGGACACGGAAGTTGTCCTCTCGTAAGGGTAGAAGATTCCGGCGTTTAGACAAGTGAAGGAAAAAGGTTAGCTGTCCTTGAAAAGAAGCCAGATTTGTGTGGTTCAGGTTGAGTGCCGCCAGTTGCAGTGTTGGAGACGTTGTCACCGGCAAGAATTCTGAGGATTTTTTGTTTATTTTCCGTGGATATCCTGGTGAGTTTGCTTGAAAAAAAAATAGCTTGATAGCATGTGTTTCATCATGCACGGGTCATAGTGTGTGTAATTTTGTTTTAAGGTGTTATAGAGTAAAAAAAAACAAAAAAACAAAAAAAACAGTCAGGATACTGTGTATAAAATGAAATATTTAACGTACCATGATCAGTCTTAACACACTGTTACCATAGACTGTATGAAAGATGGACGTAGCAACCGGCCCTGAAACATGAAGCCAACCCGGAAGTGTCAAAAACCTGCAGCATCACTACGTCCACTAGCTGCTGGCTCCACAAANACGATGAGTAGAACACTTATAAGCTTTGTGACTGTTCAAGTGTACAAGGTTGGATCACAAAGCTTTTACAACAATCAAAGATCCTATGTGACTGAAACTTGGCCACCGTCCCCTTAGCAGTCGTCTCCTTGTTCGGTGATACACCGCTCCCAGTGCTCCTACAACACTTTGAACTCTTCCTGGAAATTCGGTAGTATAAACATGTCAAACATCACCTCTTTCAGTGTTGAATTTCCTCACCTTGCAGCCCCTCTAGAAAGAGAAAACGATTGCAGGGAGTAGATCAGATGAGGAGCAATGATTGTGTTGGTGCTCAAAAGGAACTTGAGCTTGTCCAATGAGCTGTGATGTTGTTGCGATGGAGCACCAACGTGCAGTCACACCACGGTTCAGGTTGCTGGTGCCAAATGTTCTGCTCCAGTTCCTCTTGTCATAGCTGAACTCTGTTTCGACAGTCTGGCCCTGTAGGACAAACTCACAATCCACACCTGTGTTAACGTTGAAGAAGACAGTGAGCATGTTCCTGGTGCTCCTGACTGGGGATGGGTACGTAACCCTGATGTTAAACAAGCCACAGGACTACATTTTTTAAAACTTCAGGTTCGTTAGGCTCCAATATCAACGTTTCTACTGTCAGTACTTTAGGAATTATGAAGCACACAATGTTGAACAAACTATTTCTCGCCACCATGAAACATTCATCTTTGATGCAATTTCACTTTCCAAATCATGGAAGCACGGTGGTGGCAGCATCATGCTGTCGGACAACTTCACCACCAATCGTTCTGTTCAACACGACCCACCACGACCTCAGCAGAAACCATCAACCTTCAGCTGTCTGATGATGTCAGCAGAAACACAGCGTTTTTCTGGCTTCGTAAAGGTCGCAGGGTACAAGATGCAAACAGGACTTTATGAGACTGTGCCTGCAAAAAACAAAAGCTGTTCATGAAACTGTCTGGAAATGTCTGTTTTTATTCCTTTGCAGATGGCTGCAGCCAGTGATGTGAGAGTGANACGATGAGTAGAACACTTATAAGCTTTGTGACTGTTCAAGTGTACAAGGTTGGATCACAAAGCTTTTACAACAATCAAAGATCCTATGTGACTGAAACTTGGCCACCGTCCCCTTAGCAGTCGTGATACATCGCTCCCAGTGCTCCTACAACACTTTGGACTCTTCCTGGAGGTTCTGTTGTATAAACACATCAAACATCACCTCTCAACGTTTCTACTGTCAGTACTTTAGGAATTATGAGGCACACAATGTTGTACAAACTATTTCTCACCACCATGAAAACATTCATCTTTGATGTAGTTTCACTTTCCAAATCTTTTAGAGAATTCTAACCCACATATGTTATGTAGCCTATGCTAGCAACTCACACACAGCGTTAGCTAAATTGGAAGAACATGGGTTAATGATTAAAGGACGTCATCTGAAGAGTCAAACAGAAATTCAGTTTCAGAGTACACAGAGCCAGAGGAAGGATTTAGTGATTTGGGGACAGCACACAAACTCTGTCTTGCTTTATGTTCAGCCTTTCTCTGACTAAATGTTGATGTTCGTGGTAGAAGAAGAACTTCGGCTGTTTTTTTTACTATTCATATCACATGATAAAAATATATAGCACAGTGTACTTAAATGTACTTAGTATCTGTTCTAAGTCAGTGAAACACAATGCACAATGTGTTATTTTGTGATTAATGTCTGCAGCACTGTGTCCACAGTGCTCTGATAGCACCATCTTAAAAAGGAAAAATAATCAAAAAGTACAGATAAGAGAAGTGTTGAACTACTGGATCCATATGTAGCATCGGTTAGAGTAGTATAAAGGTTGAAATCTTAACCATACCCATCGTAGGCCTGACTGGATGCTCCTTCTCCAGTCTTGGAGGCAGCTCTTCAAAAGTTAAACTGCTGTTTGGTCTTTGGGTGCTAACCACAGACCCTCCTCTGGTCTCCATGCTGATCCTCCACATGAAGGGTGGATCATCTGACTGACACACAACATGATGTTTGCTCTCTGATCCAGTTTGGACACACAAAGCAAAATGAAACAAAATCTGCATGAAGCTGCGGAGATCATTTTGAAAGTGCTGGAGGAACACAAAACACATACCATAATGTCAAACCGTTATGTATCTGAGTTCTTCTGTCATTTTGCAGATGGCAGCACCCAGTCTGGTGAGAGTGAAGCAAGAGGAGGAGGATGGCGGTGAATCAAAGGTCAGTACACCCTGATGTACCGCACAAGTGAAAGTCACAAACAAAGGTTTACATACACACTCAGAGCTATGTATGTCCTCGTGTATATAGTCCTGAATTTCTCCTATAACTCTGAATTTTTTATGATGGAAGTCTTCTGGAAAGAGGACAAATTCTGCTGGAGCAAAAACACACATAAAGCAGCTTGAATTATCAGTTTGAAGATGTAAAAGATGTGTCGTTTACATTTTCTTAGTTTCATGTCACTTTTAAGTTCTTTGAGAGGCAGCAGTTGACTACGGCTGCTGGTGGTAAAGAAATGGTTCAATCAGGCTGGAACGAAGGTTTCAGAGTCTGGTCTCCCCAAAGTCTGGACTGGAACACTCAAGAGGAGTCAAAGATCATCTGGAAGCTTGTGGATGGAAACCAGAAGAACCCAACTGAGGAGAACATGGACGCTGAACCAAATATCAGCATGACTGCATGATTATTTTTAACCAAGTAGATTTTGTCATATTTTCAGAAAACCTAAAATAAATCTATGAGAGAACCAAAATACGTGGTTTTCTTTGTGTGTGACAAAGATTTGTGCTTTTCAGTGATTCCATCATAGAACATTCAGAGTTTTAGGAACAATTGAAAACCCAAGACTGCTATGGTCTACACAGGTGCATGTAAGCTTTTGTTCACAACTATACTAGGTTCTGTCTTGGATAAAGGTGGTCAACTAACTGTAATTTCTCACTCTAAATTACAGCTGAGTCGACACTCACATCACTTCAAAGTGAAATTCCCAAATGACAAATTCAGATACACCATCGACTGTGATCAGCCTCACACAGTGCTGGACGCGATAAAATTACATCTAAATGAACAGTTTACAAAGATGGAGAAAAGGAAGAACTATTCTGATGAGAAAATCATCATTCAGCTGAGTGACGTGGTTAAACAGTCTATCGTGGCAACACATTTCCCTTGTTCTTGTATCCAGAACGATGAGTGTCTGATCGTACACTTTAAAAATCAAGAGGTGGAAGAGCCAAGAAGCCAAGATGACGAAATATTACCAAGAGAACAATATTCTGTCTTTTACATTTCTAAAGAGGGAGGAGAAAAGGCAAAAAAAACGACACTTTTTAAAAACAAGACTGTCAAAGAGTTCGACTATCTCTGTGTCTATGCAAAGAAAGGAACGACTGTGAAGGAGGCTCTGGAAAGAGACGGACGCTTCGTTGACTTCCAAGATTTCAAACTGTCCGAAGACGAGAACTCAAAGGAACACACTCTGTGTACACAGAAGGTCGACAAACTGGATCAGAAAAAGTTCAAGATATGTCTTCCAAAAAATACGACAACAAAAGCAAACTGTTCAAAAGAACAGGTCGACAGTGAGCAACAGGGACAGCAGCACCAGCCAAGTGCATCAACACAGTCACAACAGAAGCTTAACACTCGGTCAGTGTTAGAAAAAGCAAAGAAGAGTAGAATCAGTGTAGGAAGAGCAATGGAAGAGTCGGGCAGCACCGTCAAGACTCAGGAGGTCTATAAACTGCTGTGTGAGCAGTTTCCAGATCTGAAAAAATGGATGGAGAGTAGATTCCGTGGTGATTCCTATCAGGAACAGCTGAAGCTGAAGAAGGAGAACTTTGGGAAAATCGAACAGTCTTTCAGTGAAGTTCAGAGACTCGTTAATTTGTCCCAACTGGGCAAGTCAGTGTGTTTGTTAAAGATAAATGCATTTCATGTTAAAGAACAGGGAACAGGCTTTGTGCTGTTTGATAACTTGATCTTGACGAATGCCCACTTATTCAAAGCGTGTGCTGACCTTTTAAGAGATGAACGGAGAGATCATGTAAAGATTACTGCTGAGTTTAACTATGAAAAGCCTGACTGTGAACCACACAAGAAAGAGTTTAAAGCTAAGCTGTTGGGCAGCATCGATGTGCTGGATTATGCCATACTTGAGCTCGACGTTGGGAGCCAAAGCTCCAACCAACCAACAGAAACAGGGGAAGCTAACGTGCCACCAGGGCTCCTGAGTAGATTTGGTCCTCTACCTCCAGATGGTGGAGCCTGTCTGATTGGTCACCCAGCAGGAGGAGTTAAGAAAATCGATCTTACATGCATCATTGTGAAGGAAGAGAGAGAGACGGCTGTCAACCAAAATGTAGAGGAGTACAAGGATCACATTTTCACTCTGTGTGCAATCAATGAAGCGATCAGAAAAGACCCATATGCTGACGTTCATGTGACCTACAACACTTTCATGTATCACGGCTCCTCTGGCTCCCCAGTGTTTGATGCTCACGGCCGAGTGTTTGGTTTGCATTCTGGCGGCTTTTTCTTTGACCGTGTAAAGCCTAAAGCGAGTGT